GTACTTTTTTTTGACTTATCGGATGTTATGAGATTTTTTTTCTTAAGCCGGTTTTTAGTTTAGTAAATTTTTTAAAGAATAACTAATATAATTTTATTATCTAACCATCAATAAAATCATTTAATGATGTGATCATTATCTTTTAAATGATAAATAATATTATTTTTTAAAAATATTAGTTTTATATAATTAAATAAAGGTTAAAAAATATTACTCGACAAATATTAATTATAATGGATATCAGTAAAATCATTGCATAAATTATTTAAAGAAAAAATCTTTAAGATCATATCTGGATAATAAATGTAAATATGCAAGCATTTAATGCACATAGTAAAAAATTTCCAAATAAGTATGCATTAAATGTGTGTTGACTTTTCTTGCTACTATTTTTGGTAGGTTGGCTTTTAATATATATATAGATATAGATATGCTTATTACTAAGATGAACTCTTTTGACAATTAATAAATAAAGAAAAGATCTATCTTACGTTTCTTGTTTGATTATTTTGTTTTGGATTGAGTAACCATTCTAAGCGTTTGTTAATATGGAAAAGAAATGATTTAATTCAATACGAATCTTTTCATACGTCTTGCTATGAAGGCAACGATTAGTTCTATAGTGAAGCCAACTTTTTATACAATAAGTAAAACATACTTTATTAATAAAATTATATTAGTGTTATTTAAGTAATCAGATAATATGGTAAGTTTTTGTACCAAAAAAAAAAAAGAATATAATAAGTTTACTTGGTGTATATAGAAAGTTGGCTCCACTATGGAGCCAACTGTTGGATTCATAGCAAAACCATCTTTTCATTATTGAAAATGGGCATAGGTGTAATTTTTTTTAGTGGTAAGTTGGATAAAAATATTCATCAATATTCCCGAATTGTTATTTTTTATAATGGATTATAAAACTATTGTGTGATTATATGTTAGCACCTCACAATTTCATTGATCTAAATTTTGTTCTAACTATTTTGGTGCATTACAGTGTGCATATTGTTTGAAAGGGTGCTATTATATCTTCTAGAGTGGTTATAACTGCTTAATTATGTAATTTTCAGCTTTACTATAGTACTAATACTAATACACATGTACAACATGAGTGTTGAGTTAATGAATATAAGTGTAAAGTTATTTACGTTTAATACCAAACCTAACTCCATAGCAAAAATAATATAAAAACAACATCACGAAGCATAAATTTTTGTCATGTCAGCTTTCGAAACGTGATAATCTACCACTTAAGCTCAACACGTTTTAAATTAATATGCAGGGAGGGATAGTGCATGTGTGCTGGTGTAATTTCGTGTTAGTACATTTGCAAGCACTTTTATTAGTAAGTGATTGATTTTATTATTTTGAAAGTTGAAGTACGACAGTTAGAAGTCGACATTAGCTGCATTTAATAGAAGCTTGAAAGCTTCAAACCGATCAAATTACGAGAGAATATCAGGTGGGAAGTTGAAAAGTGACTTCTTTTTGTGTGTTTTTAAAGAGTTTAACTTGAAAGGGCATCTCCAATGGTAATAGCTATTACTAGCTATATAGTCAGCTGACATGGATGTGAGAGATAAGAAAAATAACTATTTTACACTATTGGACCCACATACTCCTCTCACATAATATTGGGCTACGTGAAATAGATAAGCTATTTGTTAGTAGCTAGTGACTACTCTCTCTCTTACTTTTCCCCTGTCCACGTCATAATAGCTAGCCAAATAACTAACCATTGGAGACACCCTAACATATTGAGAGCCCACAAAACTTATGAGTGATTATTAATTTATTAGACTTCTTTTATTTTACATTTTTCTCTTTCCATGTTCCATGCAAATGGATCAGCGGGAGGTAAACTTTTCTAGAAGTTGAATAGTTCATGTTCTACTCTATTCAAATCTGATGAAATTGCAGCAGATAATAGGGTGGAGAAGGGTCCTTTGGGAGATGGTGGTGGTGTATTGGTGAGCAACAACGGCGACTATCGAAACCTTCGCTCTTTCAAATATGATGAAATTGCAGCAGATAAGATTTTTTATGCCCAAATATGATGATACAGACGTTATTGTCTAATTAATGTTCCTTTATTCTTGCCATTTTCATTATGTTCCCGAGGTGTTTGTACTGCGATTTACTTGTTTTATTTCGTTGATGAATGTTATCGCTGACAGAAAGGGTGGGAGGTGTAGTTTTCATAATCTTGCCTTGTTCCCTTTCGTTTATTATTTTTTCTTTCCGTAACGCATGCGACAGATTTGTGATTTTGAATTGTTAGTTGTAGTAGATTGGGATTTTCATTTCGCTTTCCAGGAATTGGAGGTTCGATAGTCTGAAATGATTGTGTTCAGTTTTCTGATTGATGAAATTATGTTAGTCATTGCAAGTAGATTGGGATTTTCATTTTGTTTCAAGGAATTGGAGGTTCCATAGTCTGAAATTACTGTGTTTAGTTTTCCCATTGATGTGATTGTGTTTTCCGTGAGATTAAATTGTGTTAGTCTAAAATGGGTGTTGATAATTTTGCACTTTTTTTTTCTCTGTTTCCCTCTTCATTTAAAGAATCCATTTTTAATGTGAACCGCTAAACACTGCCCCATTTTCGATATTTACCGTCCCCTAAAAGTCTAATTTGCCCTCCACCTCATTTCTCTCTCTCTTCTACTCTCTTTCTCTCTCTCTCGTTTTTCGCTCATTTGACGTCCGAAAAAATTCCGAAAAAAAAATGTCAGGACCATCTAAACGCGGAGGCAAGGGATTCTTCGTTCGATCGGTACGTTTTTTTTTTTTTTGAAATTTCGATCGAAATGTTTTTTAAATTTTTTTTTTTTCGTTTCTGTTGG